GGAAACTTTAAGATGTGTGGACTTCAATTCCCAGAATTCCCTGGCCAGCATGCTGGCCAGGGAATTCTGGGAGTTGAAGTCCACACACCTTGAAATTGCCAGGTTTGAAAAACACTGTTCTACAGGTTCCAAAGTTATGAACAGTGAGTGATTCAAGGTAGGATTCTGTAATAGGAGACAAACATACTTTAAAAGCAAAAGATTAAGCAGTTTTTAATTTAGCAAATGAACAACTACTAAAAAGAAGCAAGCATTTAAAAAAATCGGAGTCAGCAATATAGGCTACAATATAGTTCTACAGAAATTGATTCAATAGGCAGGCAACATTCTTCCAGGAAACAGGTTCACGCCTGGAGAAGTCCTTCCAAGCCATTCTACTGAACAAGTAAATGGAGGACCATTGCCCATGCACACCTACAGCAGATGAAGCTGACTGTCCCAGCAATTTGGCAACTTCATAGGGCTTCCAGACAGAACAATGAGCCACACTATCTCGCAACCCAACCCAAAGATGCCAGGAGGTCTCACCTGACAGGCCCAAAATTGAAGGCTATGAAGAGCAGCACAACCATGACACAGATAACTTTTCGGTTCCCGGAGCCAAACTTCAGCTCGCTGTTCTATATGGGAAGACAGGCAAGTTATCAGGCATCATGGCACACTGCATTCAACATTTACAGCTCCTTCGAATGGAATCGTCTGATTCAGTGTTGCAGCTTTTCCCAACTTCTTGCTACCTAGAAAGAGCTGAACTAGAACAGCTAATTGCTGAGTGATCCTGACTGATTATGTGCCATCAAGCCAGTGTCAACTCTTAGTGACCACTTGAACAGATTTTCTCCAGGACAATCTGTGGCCAGCCTGGTCCTTCAGGTCTTCCAACAGCGCACCCAAGTTATCCTACTGACTGCAAAGTAACAGCCATCAGAACTGGAGAAATGAAACTTCCCAGAACAAGAGGGTCATATCAGCATTCTCAGCAGAACCCCAAGGTCTGCAAAAATACAGGAAGTGTTTCAAAAAATGAAGGCGCCACCATCTGGCATACCAACTTACTAAGAACTAGCAAGCTCTGCAGCAAAAGAACGTTATACCATATCCTATATCAGTAGGGAAAAAAATGAGGAATTAGGTGATTGGGCTCCTGCATAGTGATAAACCATACAATGGTTTGCTTGGTTATGGCTTAGAGTGCTGGGCTAACTTTGCAAATGGTGCTGCATTCAAGAAGTCGCAATTAAGGAAAGCGCCCCAGCTCAGGGGGAAGGAAAGGGGGAGAGTGAATCAAAATGGATTATCCCAGAGCTGCACGGCTAGCTAGCTAATATTCTGAACTGCCGCATTTCAATTGGGAGGCAGATGTAAGCACACGCAGTGCCCTTCTGTTGCACGTCCCATCTGAAAACCGAAACGTTCTCAGCTATACATCCCCGTGATAGGGAGCCATCGTGACTATGTGCTTTCTTGAGAGTCCCGTTCCTGGTGGAAGGGGCTCACCTCGTCCAGGACACCATCTAGCCGGCGCCGAAGGGCAGCATTCTCCCGTCGCAGCCGTTCGTTCTCCGCCAGGGCCTCTCGCAGCCGGGATTCCAATCCTTGGAGATATTCCTTCTTTTTTCGGCGGGACTGACATGCTGATTCACGGTTCTTTATCATCCGCTGCTGCCTTTTCAGGACCTTGATCTTCAGCAAACGAGTAAGGAAAGCACTATTTATATCCATAGCATAAATGAAAGATGGAATGAAGTTCAGTCTTCAGGACTCTTTGGCATCTAATATGGATAACTGTTGACACATTTTTCTGTGCTTGTTTCTGAAATTCAGTTCCACGGACAAAGCCTTTAGCATCCTCCAGACCGCTTTGTTCGCCAGGTAAAACTTACCTTGTTTATATTACTTCCTCTTCTGCCACAGTAATTAGCAAAAATTATGTACTGTAAAGTTAAGATAGGTTTTACTGTTGCTACTGTACTTATCTCTTGTTGGAGACTGTTAAAATGTAGGAGTTTAGCAGAACGGTGTACGGTGTGGCTATTCCTGATGTGACTCGCTTGTAGATCTGCCCGTGATTTGATGTTGCTGGAAGAGAAAACGCTCTGGCACCAAAAGCCATGACTTACATCAATCTCCTGGTTGCAGGGTCCTATCTGTGTCGGTGCAGGGATGATCGCTTTAGCCTCCGGCTTGGGGACTGAGGGGGCTGGCTTAGGTGGGAGAACTTCCTTCACAGGGGACTGAACCTTGATCAAACCAGACACGGGGAGATGCAGCAGCTCAGACTGGGAAATCACAACACTTTGTGCTGGAACTGAGGCGAAAAAAGCCACAATACTGCTTCATATACACCATAGTCTTCATAGAAGAAAACAAAGCCTTTCCCCCAGAATGCCCCCCAAAAGCAAAGAAGCCCGTGCTCCTTCTACATCTCTACATCTCCAACCTGCACACATTCAGCTACTGTAAATTGCTCCATTATTGTCCAGAGAAAGTCCCCCTGGCCTAGTTACCTGAGATTCCAGGGTTGGTGGTCTGTGACTGGGTCACAGGCACAGGCTGCAACAAGATGGTCTTACTGGAAGTGGTTGCTGGCTGTCCTGGGACAGTGGTCACCACAACCGGCTTTGGCTGAATGGGGGGTTTCCGACTCAGAATGCTCTCCGCTTTATTGGGAGCCCCTGGTTTCCCTGAAACAGAATTGAGTAGCCAAATACCAAATAAGAATCTGTCACAGCTCAACAAATTATGCTGATGAGCCACCCTGAACCGGAGAAGAGCCAGCTATTATCATCTTGAAGGAGGAAAAAACCCAGTAAATGAGAGATCATAGAGACATTTATCACTCCCTTTCTTCAATGAGTTCAGTTTTGATACCATTCATGCCCAAGCATTATTTATTGATTTCAAATGAGGCCCTTTGAAACTTTTCTTTAATTAAATTAAAAAAATGAAGAAAAAGACACAAAATTACAAAAAAAAACTTTAAAAAGGAAACAAAACATACAAAGTGTATATTTGCAGAGATACCACTTTTCTACAGAACATCTATCCAATCTGTTATCAGAAGTACTCATCGTGATACGTTAAAAAAAAACGCCTCACATTGAAAAGTGCTCTGGTTTTGATTCTTGCTAACAAGCCATGAATATTCACTAGCATTCTAACTAGTGTGGGTGAGGTGCCAACTGTTAGGATTTAAATTATAAAAGCTGATGTGCGAAATACAAAATGCCGGTTTGGCTCAGAAAACTAAATACATGGCCAAGAACAGGAAGGGCAACACGGTAAGTGTGAAAAATCTGTAGGGGATGCAGAAAGTGAGACAGGAAGAAAGTGTCACATATTAATTGTAACTAACAAACAGGTTATTTGGTTATACTTCTCCCCCTGCCCCAGATACTCAATATATTTTTCAGGCACAGGATACCACAGCTCCAGAAATTACATCTTCTTCATTGGATCTGAGCACCAGAGTGAGGTTCTATTTCTTACTAAATTCATTGCAGAAGCAAGAAATAAATGCTTGCTCCTACATGATGCTTCCCAACGTACCTGTTTCAGAAGTTGGGACTACATTTATGTGTACAGTTCCAAAGGGAGGTAAAAGGACATCTCCAAACATACACGGAGGGGTTGGGGGATGCTCCGTCTTCACTCCAATCACATCAGCTGGTCCAGGGACCTGGAAAAAAAAATGAATGTCTCAACAGAGGCATCAAGATTCTCCATCATGATGCTTCTCGAACATCTGTAAAAAAAAAATTTTTTTTTTCAAGAACGGTTTTTATATGTTTTACAGGATTTTTGTTATTTATTATTTCTGGTAATTTTTATGATAGGGAGGGAGGGAGGGATTTCTGATGCTCCCTGCCAGTTTCCCACAAGCAGGGTCAATAGGGAAGCCAGCAGCAAGTCATAAGTCACC